TTATTATAATCCTAAGTACTTTATATAAATATAGCTGACCCTGCAAACGTTGTTTTGCTATTTACATTATTTAATTATTATTTTTTTTAAATTTCTTAAAATCCGTTCTTAGCTGACCTCTACTCGGTGAAAAGAATATTCCTACCAAAATTTCAAGTCTTTAGCTCTAATGGTTCCAGAGATATCGTGATGAGTGACTATATACGTGGAAATCTCTTATATATATATATAGATTTAAGATATATATGTACAAAATTCTTTATATTACACCAAAAAAGGCTTATGCAATCTAGAAATATATTAAGAAGCAGTCTCATCGACAGAACAGTGGATCTTAATTTTCTGTTTCGGGGCCTTATCAGTCTCGATGTTTTACATACAACTCGGATGGATTTTACTGTACCTACTAAACCAAATTATGTTAGATATTTTCTTTTAAAAGATAAAGCGTCGTTGCTACAGCATTTAGTATGATAGTAATACATTACAAACGCTTTTGTTAAACAGTATTTGCTTTGGATCGGCACAAGCAGGCTTGATAGTGGAAGGGCATCTGTTGAATAACTTGTTGATGTGAACCACTTCTGATATCGTCACCGTAATGCATAATCTATATTAAATCTAAGTGTATGTTTGTAATGTCCAAAAAAATTTTTTTTATGCTCACACAGTTATTTGCACTACACCTATGCCTAAAAACCAGTTTACATTTTTTTTTTCTGTCTGTCTGATTGTTCTGGGTAATCTTTCAAACGGCTGAACCGATTTTGATAATATTTTACTACTAGGTAGCTGTCTATATAAGCAGCAACTTAGGCTATTTTTCCTCTCAGAAAAACGCCATAAAAATTTGCCCGGTCCGGGCATCAAAATCGAGGCCTTTTGGACTGCAGTCGCGTACCGTACTACACCATTTATTTTTCATGAATTCTGCAAATTGAACAAACATTTTCAAATAAAAATTTCACGCTAACAAAGTCACGGGTACCAGCTAGTCTGTACCAGCAGTGGACTATGAAAGGCTGTTGATGGTGAAAGATGTCAATATAATTTCAATGCCAAGATAATTTTGCCCATAGTTGAATAGTTGTTCTACATTACGTAATATTATATTACAATACCAAATCACAACGAGACATAGAGACAAGGTTTTGAGTTGCACCCGATGAATTTATCATATTAGACTTACAATCTGTTCTGATTTAATATAAGACATAATTATAAATTCAAACAAATAAGTAACTATTATATTGTAGAATTACGTTTAATCATTATTCAGATAAAAGGGGTTTCACTATGTCCGCAGCAGTTATAATTGTAAAATTAGTCATTTCTAAACGATCTGTCTATTAAATAATAACAGAGATTAATAAAGAAAAAAAATATAAAATAAAAGGATTATAGAAAATGCATGTAGATAAAATTAATATAAGCTTTAATAAAAGCTGCTTTAAAATTCAAATTAAGTGGATACTATTACCGGCTAATATAAATTTAATTTATACAAAAGCCGTATAAATAAGTTTGGTACCAACTATAACTTAAGAAATATAACAGCGTAGTAGATGATGCGAGTGTTACACCAGATGCGGGGGTTTATAAAGAGAGTAATCGTACTCATGTTAAGCTTTTTTTTTATTTGGTTTACCACATAAAAAAAAAGCTTAACATGAGTAAAAGCTAAACTTAGCACATTTAATTGATTCGTGGTTTCTGTATATATTATGTCTCTTGGATCGTGGGGCTTTCGAGACATTTCTCACTGTCCCTGATTCCACTTATTCCTATTTTTGGGTAGTATTTTGGGACCACAAATATATATTGGGAAAGTACGGTCTCCAAAACAAATTTGTAGTATTACAAACAAAACTATTTTTTTAAAACAATAAAATATTTCTTTTATGTAAAATGGCAGCCCAGAAGAATTAGAATCAAACCCAAAATGAGTTGGAATTAACGCTTTAATAATAAAATCATATCTATTTCAACTGGTATCACCGGTAATACGGAATGCCCAGTTTTCATGAAATACCCGTAAATGTACTTTACCAAGGCGATTTTTATTAGAATTGGTGTTAAAATAAGTCTAAAAATAAGTTTATATACTATACGTATGACTACTACACAAGGTCACCTATGTTAGAAATCACTTTTAAACTACATCCTCTCGTTAAAAAGACATTTTCTATATAGTATGGCACAAATAATATTTTATGTACAAAGTATGTGTTGGTTTATAAATGTTGAAGTAAGGTCATTACTTATGTATTTTGGTTTGTCAAAGAAATTTTGATGTGTTATTATTTTATAAGACTTTTACTTTGACTCAAATTATTGACTGTTAATATTCCTGGGCGTTGATCAAATCGGAGTTGACTCCTCTTTATCTTCATTATCATCATCAATTACAGTTTCTTTCTGTTTCTTATTCATATCTTCAATAACCATTTCGCTTTGATTGCATAGGCTGAAAGATTTTCAGCAATGGAAGAATACCCTTTTTTTTTTGGGAAAACCCTGCATTGAACCACATGAAAACATTGGCGTGCAACCCCTACCTTCCAACACGATTTCCACTTAAGATAACATGCGTATATATATGGTATGTAACACGGGACGCCATGATAGCGGGATTTAATGGGGTTTTTCTAGCCTCATTCTTGATTAGAATTAATATTTCTATATGCTTACAGTGTATAAATTTTCTTTTCTAATTCTTATTACGAATCACCTTTTCTTTAATTTTATTCAATAATTTATAACTAAAAGACGATACGTGGTAAATACACCAAGAATTCTTAATGTTAAAATAGTTACAAAGAAAATGTTGACGAAGAAAACAACATGTCTTAGTAAAAACTCATTTTTTTATTTATTAAACCTTCCTTAAATCTCCTTTATTAAACCTTATTGTAATCTTTACTTACTAATATTATGAAGCTAAAGAAGTTTGTTTTGTTGAACGCGCTAATCTTGGGATCTAGGGGTTCGAATTAAAAAATTTTTTTAGTGTTGGATAGCCATTTTATCGAGAAAGGCAAAAACAAAAAACAAAACAAAAACATCACGGAAAGTGTTACAAAAACGGGGAAAGTTTCTTCCTTTTGAGAGACGAGGACGACTTTGCGCGAGTCAGCCAGTGTAAAAATATAAAGTCACTAATCTGAGCACTAAGCATACGAGTATATCCACTTACATGTATGTTTGTTTCATAATTAACATTTCATAACGGTATTTAATATTTTCTAAATATGTTACTTTTATTTTATTTAATAGGTCTGTAATATATGTCTTTCTAAACTTTAGGTGATGTCATATTATGTTAAATTTACTATAATACGAATCGTAAATCTTTACAGTGAATAAATATAATATGAAGTACAATTAAGGTATAATTACGAAGATTATGTAATATGGATCTGTGATGTGATTTTTAACATTTTACAATAATGCATTTATCGCAACTTTGAACCATCGTTTCACGCGGCAAAACTTTCATCCCCATCACTTGCATAATTGTCACTCCACCATTGTGCGCTTTTCGGGAAATTGTTTGCTTCGCATATTTTTTTGTTTAACAGATTGTCGGCTTTAAGACAAAAGCGTACTCCTTTCTTAAAGGCCGTCAACGCGCTCGTGACTCTTGAGTTGCAGTTAATGCAGATTTCCTGACTAGCCGTTAAATTACCTAATAGTTAATCGATACGTCCTTCAAAGATAAGGCCGTTAAAGTATTTCAAAGGTAGGCAACCTGCGACTCTTGGGTTCCAGGTACTAACAGAGGACCCGTCTGCTCGTTTACACCTTAAATATGTAAAAAAATATGTATACATACATACGTATATTACCTATTCATCTTTTTTTTTGTACCACAATAATTTCATGGCCTTGCCCGAAGAAGTCCCATCTGCAAAATGACCGCTTAACGTAGAAAATACTATCGCCGTAATTACATAACATTTTTGAAGTAAAAAAGTATGTCTTATATTTACTTATATGTAAAGCACAGGGTTAGATTTGAATTTCCTTTTTCTAATGAAAATATACTTAGCAATATAGATGTTGTTACGTTATCGTACTTGTATATATGTGTGTCAATTCTTAATATTATTCTGAATATTATATTTGTTACTTAATTCATGTTTTATTATTAGGTGCAATAATACGATAAAGATAAAGTAACAAAATAATTTTAAGAATCATCAGAATACGCAATGCATATAGCCTGACTCTATTTTTTTTTAATAGAGTTAATTAGTCATTTTAAGAATATCTTACATATATTAAGACGACTTAATGAAGTTGAGAGTATATTGTAGGAATATAGATTTTTTTTGGGTAAAATAATATATCGAATGGGCAGAATTGAGAATCGAATGATGCGATCATAAGAAATGGCTAAGACAATCCAGGAAAATGTTCTTTGATGAAATAAATATACGCTGAGTAGTAGCTAAGCTACGTGGTAGTAAAATATTATCAAAATCGGACAGACAGACAGACAGACAAAAAAAATAAACTGGATTTTTGAAATAGGTATCGTGCAAATAACCGTGTGAGCATAAAAAAAACCTACTATTTTGACATTACATTCAGACACTTAAAATTTGTTTGTTTGTATAGATATAGATCAAATCCATAAATTATTTGATACTCACTTGTTGTACAGATTTTGTTCACAATTCATTAAATAAGATTGAGAGCAACACGGCAGAAAAATAAAAACAATACTCTTCAAATTAGCGAATCAATTTTAAGGCTGTGCGATTTGCCTAAAAGCCTGAGCAGGAGCGGAGTGGTGCGAGCGTGCCGTACAGAGAAGTGAGTCGTATGCCCACTAAGCGCATAGTCCAACCGCGTCGCTCTTTGACGACGCACGCGCATTTGCTGATATCGCAACTCGTATAAAAAGGTTCGCGGACGGCACGTAATTCATTTACAAGCTCGCCTTCTCATTGAAGGGTCTTTCTTGTTTGTTTACCTGGGCTATAAGTTCCAAAATGGCTGATTTGGATGTGATCTTAAGACATGACGATACCGAAGGCGTTCTTATTGCCAAAGGGGTCAGTATGGTTGTTCTTTTCTTTGCCTGCATGATATGTGGTATCATACCGCTGTTGCTGGCGAAGAAGTTCAACTGGTTATCAGCTGGCGAAGCTAGAAACTTGAGAACAAGTAACAGGGCTGTGATGGTGCTACTTTCTTTTGGTGGGGGTGTTTTGCTCTCCACAACCTTCATGCACCTGATACCAGAAATTGAAGAAAATGTGATACACCTGCAAAGTGAGTAGCTATTTCTAATCTTTTTACAAGTAAGGCTATTATAACATTTATAAATAAACAATAATTTCCATTTGTAAATCATTGTTTATTTTCGTTTAATTGCATTTTTTTTTGTTATTCTAACAGATACCATTTAATATAGACTGCTTGTTTAGTAGGTTATATTTATATCTGTCGTGAAGTTCCATTTTTACTTTCTGTTCGCCTGTAGCATAAATAAATATCCTGTATGAGAATTAAATGACAGTATTGAATTAAAAAAAATTGTGAACTTATCTATAGACCTTTAAGACCTTTAAATGTAAACCATTATATGATAGAAAAAACTAAGGCTTGATGAAGATATAATACCTAATTTTAAAAACGTATTTCAGAAACCAAAGTAGGTATTTTAAAATCCTAAACATTTACTGTTATCATAAGAATAAGCGAAATATCGAAATATATATAATAATATATGAAAATAAAAGTAAGTACGAGTTTTTACGCTTAAAAGCCATAAATATCTTAAGCTTAATAATCACTTCATAATGTTTCGTAGCGGTTACATTGTAAAATTTTAACAGGTACCTACATAACCAAGCAACACTTATCTATACTAATATTATAAAGCTGAAGAGTTTGTTTGTTTGTTTGTTTGTTTGTTTGTTTGAACGCGCTAATCTCAGGAACTACTGGTCCGATTTGAAAAATTCTTTCAGTGTTAGATAGCCCATTTATCGAGGAAGGCTATAGGCTATATATCATCACGCTAAGACCAATAGGAGCGGAGCACCAATGAAGAATGTTTCAAAAACGGAGAAAATTTATTACTATTGAGAGACGCAGACGAAGTTGCGCGGGTCAGCTAGTTTTCTAATAGTTGTCGTTATTGAAAATTAATAATATTTAAATAAAAATTACACATTTCAAACAAACGTTAGTCACTAAGTAACAGCGCTTGGGGGAACAAGTTTAAAAAAAACTATTTGTATTGTTTAGTAGCTAACTGGCGCTCGCTGGCAAGAGAAACTAATCTTTATAGAAAACATTTTCGTAAATAAAATGTAATTGTTTTAAAGTTAAACTGTATAATGCATCATCATTTCCTCAAAATCGGAGCGCTTGTAATGCAGACAATTTTCTATTTACGACGTTTTCCAGTTAAAGGCCGTCTCTTACATTTATCTTTTTTACAAAAACTTGTGATGCCCGATGTTACTGTAATTTCCGTTAAAAAACCCTGAAAAATGATTTTAAATAGTACAACTGTGGCAATATATGTTTTAATTATTCCGTTGAGAATAACAACTAATTCTGGACAAATTTACTTAATTTTTAACTTTTAATTGTAAGTATAACTCCTCAGTGGAATCAATTTAAACTTATCCAAAAATGGCCATGGGAATAATGGCAATTATGATATTTCAAAATAATTAAAGTGAAACAAAAAAACAAAATCATTTTGTAATTATAAATAAATCAGGCGTAGGTATATGTCAGTGACCTTGAAATGTTTATGAAAATTATGTGTATATTCGTTGATCACGAATGCCTTGACATTGTTTATTTACATATTTTTTTATATGGTCAAAATATAAAGGTCATCTACATGGCTACATGTGTATCTGCATTTGACAAAGATGGTGCATAAGTATTTGAATGAAGTGTTATATTAATAATATTAGTTTCATATTTCATAGGAACATCCATTTTGACATCTATAGTACTATTTATGAATGATTTTAATTATTAGGTTTTCATATTTAAAAAAAAGTTGACAATCAATCAATATTAACCAAGATTATAAAATTTCATTAGCTAATATTGTAAATTACGTATGAATAAATAGTTTACTTCTGATATCTTCTTTTTTATCGATCCGTTGAATTTTAAGGTCTTAATTATAAAATTGTCTAAAGTTTATTTCTGATTAGTGTTCTCAGGGCCACTGGTATTAATTGATTGAATAGTACAAGGATATTATTATCTTCTTACAAAGAATTTTTCTTTAAACCACACAGGAACTAATGCTGTAACGAACAAAATTCAAATCGAATGTTTTTTGATATTCGTGATCGCCTTTGTATTCGAAGAAATTAGATCGAATATTTGGCAAATGTATTTAGAAAATTAATAATGTCTCTTCTCCATTCAAAAAATGAAACTTTTCCAAAACAAATGAATTATAATTTGTTAAGTCAGTATTATAATAGTATAAATATTCGCATTCGCAAATATGATAAATGCAACATATCTGACTTCACTAATGGTTACAAATATTCTTGACACTATAGTGTCTTAGTTTTTGACACAATACACTCCTCATAAAGACCCATTTTAAAACTAATCCTCTATCTTACAGAACTTTAAACTACAGTAACGATTACATCATAACTTACGCGTTGGACTTTACCAATAGAAGGTTGCGGTTATTAATCGTACTTATTAATTACCTATATTTACCTACTTCTTACATAATCATATACCTTAGATATAGCAGTTAATACGAATTCTAGTAATGCACCAAAGATACGGATGATACTAAAAAAAAACGAACAAGCACAAGCCTTACCCAGAGATAGTTCCGTAGAAACTTGTTTGTAGATAGTTCAGAGAGTTCATCTTATTCAGGAAACACGTGATTCTGGAAGATTTTTGAACGTTTTCTACGAGTTACAAACTCTTTCTACCTCTCTAAATATTAGGGCTTAAATTATGAAATTACCGATTTGTACTGAACAATTTAAACTCGTTTTTTTCTGAGATGTAACATATTTATTTAATCAAAACCCTCATCATCTATATTATGCTGCCATCTAAACGGAAGTTCATTTATGCCTTAACGATAGAACTCTGGGGATCTAGATTCGACAAACTATGTGAAAGCATTTTATACTGCCTGGTGGGAAGATTTTTTTTTATCACGTAGAAAGTTGTCCAAATCACGAAAAAATTTTCACTCCGTTGAAGCAAGGTCTGGCGAGTACGGAGGATGACGTGTCTGGTGTCACAATCAGAAGCAATATTCCTTCATTTCTGTATCGATTTAACAAGGCAACACAAGTTTTAATACGCATTCCTTTCTCCAGATCAGTCAAATCATGAGACACCCATTTTTCATATTTTTTATCTTATTGATCTGATACAAATAAGTCAATATTGTAGGTAGGGTAACGTTAAACCATGCCGCTAATTCCTGGGTAGTTTGACTAGGATCGGCTTCCACCATCTTCTTCAAATCAGTGCTATTCACCCGTGTGGGCGGACTTCCACGTAGTTTGTTCTTCAAGTCGAAGTTTCCATTACGAAAGCGTTTTAACCAAAAGCGCATGGTGCGTCCATTAGCAGCCTTTAAAAAGAAGAACCTCATAGGTGTCATGTAAAAAAAGTTACGAAAATGTCATACTATGAAGGTTTAATGTCAATTAATTTGTGGTGTGAGATGCCGTGTTGACCATACATCTAAATATGCCACACTCAAAACTCAGACTCATAGAAAATCTCCAATAGTTTTTGATTTATCTGGGAGTGGGTTTAAACATAAGTTAAATAGCCGTATTTTTTATTGCGATTGGATATCAGACGAAAGTAATTATGTTAATTTGAACTGATACTTTGACGACTTCCTTAGAAAATGATTTTTTACAGATGAACTACGAAGTGATTCTATTAAGAATCAGATTTTCCTTTGAAATAGGTAACCCTAAAAATTAACTAAATACTATCGGTCCACATATGCTACACATGCAAAATTTCAAGGTCCAAATGCTGAGCTCCGGCGACTCTCATTAGAATGTGTGAATTGTCGAGAGGGCATTATCTAATGGTTGTGTAAGAACTGTCGACATGTATATATGTCAATTCGCCTGCATCAACTGATCGTCACAAATGTTACGTCTTGTTTTTTTTTTGCATTAGACGTTTCATTTTTATATAATGTTTTGATTTTAATTCGCCTTCTTTTTATAGTGAGTCAGTGAACTGCTATCCGGTTTATATAATTATAAATTAATAATCTTAAATGCACGATACGATCAAAGTTACAAGCTTAAATTCAAAATGATATATTTGACTATACACATGAATTTCATAAATATATCCCATTTAAATTTTCGATATTTTTGAGAAGTTATTATAAACAAGATATTTTTCATGTTCATTCTGATTCCGGCAAATAAATATGATAAATTTCCCCTTAATTAACTTCCTATATTTTTTTTCTAAGAAGTTAGGTGAGGTAGATTTATCTAAGTATTTAAAATTAAGGCCTATAATTACTCGTAGTAAAGCAATTGGTTTATAATTGATGTACGAGTAATATCGGTAAAAACCCATCCTATTATGTAGAGTTTAATGTTTTTATCCATTAAGATTTACTAGTATTGATGACGAGATTTTAAGCAACAGTAATTTGATGAAATTATTAAAAAATACCTTAATAGGTAAAAGATCCCAGAAGGCCAATTTTCGTAAAAAAAATCACTCAATAACGATTGCGATAAACTCTCGATCTCACAAAATTAAATGTCGTAAAAGGTATTCTCGTAGTAAAGTATAAAACATCTAACTTAACGTTGAATGTAATGTAATTATATCGTATGTATTGTGACCGAAAGTTGAATCAGTACCTATTCTGCTAGTCTTAGTCAAACTTTACTATGAATACCTTTAATAACATTTGTGAGATCGAGAATTTTCAACGAAGTTTTATTACGATAATTGACCTTCAGATTTTTGTAAATAAAAAAATATTTATATATTTAGTTATGTAAACATACGTATAACTTTAATTGAGGTTAAATACTCAAATTGAATTTTACCACCTGTTAATACTAAGGATTGATACAAAAAATTGTTATGTCAAAAACCATAACTAAGATTATTTACCTATAAAGAACAACAACTTTGTACCCTTAAATATTTTTTCTATAAGATTTTATTTTAGTTATTTTTCTCACTGCATTTTCCCCTTTAATTGTGAAAACTTCACACATCTCAATGATCGTGAACTAGACTGA